AGTGGAGGCTGTGGAGGCTGTGGAGGCAGTGGAGGCTGTGGAGGCTGTGGAGGCAGTGGAGGCTGTGGAGGCAGTGGAGGCTGTGGAGGCTGTGGCAGACGCAGGGTGGCTCCTTCCTCAGGGAAGCCGTCTAGATGATATGTCTAGATACCTTATGCATCTAGAAAACGATTACTTAAGTTATGGGAAAAGATGCAAAGTCTTCAATCACTGTAAATTTTACCTCATAGGGATGTTTTTCCTCGCTTCTGTTCACACTGCCTTGGAGCCTCTCGAGCAAGGCTACTGAGCTGAGCAGCGCCAGGTCTTTCTAGGCATGTTTCAGCTCCCTGTGGGATGGTATCACATGCAGTTGTAGGGGGATAAAGACACCGAGGGGGCCAGTCAGCCCTCCTGGCCACACTGTTCTCATCTGCTCAGGTGGCAGCTACAAGAAGATTGGCTACTATGACAGCACCAAGGATGACCTTTCCTGGTCCAAAACAGATAAGTGGATTGGTGAGTTATCTACTCAGTCTTTCTTCCTGTTCCTCTCCAAGAGAATGTTGAGTGCTACTTGGGGCGGGGAGCCGGGGGGAAGGTTAGGGTGGGTTGGGGTGAGGCTGAGGCAGGTGGATGTATGCAGAGAGGCAGAGATGCATGCTGTGCTCATTGCAGGAGTACACTGCTAAGGTAACTAGGTGAGCAGGGGCAGGACGTGGAGAGTTCGTGTGGGTGTCCAGATGGCTTGGTGCCTGGATACAGCTAACCAACTCCTTTAGCCTGGAGCTGCTTCTGTCTTTCTTGGTCAGGAAAATGATTGCTTAAATTATTGGAAAAGATACAAAATCTCTGGTCACTATAAATTTTACCACATATGGTGTTTTTTTCCTCATAGCTGTTTATTTATTTTGGTTTTTCTGAGACAGGGTTTTGCTATATGATTCAGGCTGGCTTTGAACTCATGGTGACCCTGACTCAGCCTCCTGAGAGCTGGGATGACAGGCATGCATTAGCATGCCTGGTGCCATGTGCTTTTTTTTTTTTTTTTTTTTTGCGGTACCGGGGATTGAACTTAGGACCCTGTGCTTGCCAGGCAATTGCTTATTCTCCTGCGCTATCTCCTTGGCCCTGCCATGTGCTCTTAAAAGAGAAAAAGCAAACAATTATTCTTGGTCTGTGTGAAGGGCTAAATAAGTGGGAAAGGTGTGGAGGTGGGCAAAAGGATCTGTTGGTAGAAGAAAAAGGTTCAGCAGCTGGAGGATGTGGGGTAACAGCCCCCAGAGGCAGCTCTCTGCTCAGCCTAGCGAAACCCAATTGTTCCCAGCACTGCTGGAGTTGTGCTTTTTATATATATTTTTTTATTTGAATTTAGGACAGTGTTCTGTACTGCTATAAATTTTGGCATGGCCTAAATTAGCTTTTTTATTTAAGAAAAGTGAAATTAGGTTTTTTTAGTGAACACTGACAAATTTGAACTTCCCTTAATAATAAGTGTAAAATACATTTGGGAAATCATCCTGCCATGGTTAGAGTTTCAGATTAGTTTCTTTTTGTTTGTTTTATCTAAGGTTAGGAGGCCACACTAGACACATTGAGGCCCCTTTAGCTTTCAGATTCTATATTTGTCTTCTGCAGCTTTTGATTTGCAAAAGATTATTTTTCAACTATTTCCCCTTCTCTCCCATTTTCCTTTGCTGCAAGCAAGAAAGAAAAACCAACAGCCAACACTAAGAGAGAAGCAGAGGCAGAGACAGACTCTTAACAGTTTGGAAGCCCTCAGCAGCTACTTCATCTCCCTTTTGCTTCCAGAGCTCCTGTGTTAGTCAGGACCTCCTGTCCTTATCCAAAGAATGAGCATCTGCCAGCAGCCTTACTCCTTTCTCCTACCCATCCATGTTTCTTTGTCATTCTTCTCTCTGTCCCTTGTGTCTCACAGGAGGGACCCCCCCAGCGGACCAAACCCTTGTCATCGAGACCTTCCGCTTCCTGTCACAGAAACTCTTCATCTCCGTCTCGGTTCTCTCCAGCTTGGGCATTGTCCTTGCTGTTGTCTGTTTGTCTTTTAACATTTACAACTCGCATGTCCGGTAAGTTTCTTTTCTGACATGGTCCTTGTCCTGTCTGCTCTTACAAGGTAATGATCATGCTCTTTCAGGCAGCTAGAGTAAAACCAATGCAGCTCCTAATGCCATATGTCATTGAGGGCTCTGTCCTGACTTACTGAGAATGTGAGGACAGAAACCAAGTGTAGGGGCTGGAGAGATGGCTTAGTGGTCTAAAGCACCTACTTGAAACAAGCTTGGCAAAGCACAGGGACCGCGGTTCGATCCCCAGCACCACATGCCAGCCAGACCCGCCCCCTGGTGGGCTGAGCTGGCCACACACACAATAAATAAATGTAATAAATAAAAATAAATAAATATTTAAAAAAAAAAAAAAAAGAAAGAAACCAAGTGTAATTCTCATCTCTGCTCCAAGGCACCCAGCTGGAAAAAATAAAATAAAATAAAGCCCAGACCTTTGGGGCCAGGTAACTGAGTCTTGGGCCCCAAATTGTGTATCCAGGGGGGCCTCTTTAGCACCATCTCCAGCCCCTTGACCAAGCTGAGTCTGTCAGGATCCTGTCCCCTGCTCTAAGCTTATCTTCCTTTAGTTTGTATACCTGCATTTGGGGAGAGCTGAGCTTTCCTGAAGAAGAGGGTAGCTTTCTCTCTCCCTCTCCTACTATCTCCTCTTCTCCCCTAGTTATATCCAAAATTCACAGCCCAACCTGAACAATCTGACTGCTGTGGGCTGCTCGCTGGCATTAGCTGCTGTCTTCCCCCTTGGGCTGGATGGTTACCACATCGGAGAGAACCAGTTCCTTTTTGTCTGCCAGGTGAGGAGGGGGTAGGCAGATATCTTGGAGAATGTGGCCGTCTCATGCATTTGGGAGTACTTTCCACGATGTGTGGTTCTGTATCTTCCCTTCTCATTTCTCCCTGACTCCTGTCCTTATTTCATTCTCCAGAGACCACCCCTCAACTCTTTCTGGCTCTTTTCTCTTTCTGGGCCTCCAGATATTTTTTGTTCTGTAGTTCACTGACATTTCCAAGGTTGCATGGCTTGGAGAGGAGAGGAGGGAGGTGCTGGAGCCAGAGGGAGCATGCACAAGGAATCCCTAGACAATGGGGGCTTGTCTGTGTCGTGGGGCTGAGGACCAGGATTGTGGGCTTCCTGTGGAGCCTTAGTTGGGGTTTGGAAGGATGAAGGCAAAATCTTAGCTGACAGCCACAGAGTCTGGGGTGCGGGAGAAACATCGGTGTCCAGAGGTTGTGGGAAAAGTCTGGCTTGAACAGCGAGTGGGTGGTACTTGGGTGGTTGACTGTGGTGCTGTAGGCAACATCCACTCCTCCCCCAGCTCCACCCACTGTGCTGCTTCTCTGTACCCCTGTTCCTGTCCTGATCATGTACTGTGCAAATGGTATTTGCACATAAGTACATGCACTTCATTGTGTGTTACTTGTTTCTGGTGAGGTTGGAGTGTAGCTGCAGCAGCAGACAACAGGCTGCCGTGCAGCAAGAGGGTAATAGAGTAGAGAGTGCTATTTTTTTTTTTATTTATTTTATTCATTTATTTGTGTGTGTGTGTGTGTGTGTGTGTGTGGCCAGCTCAGCCCACCAGGGGGCGGGGCTGGCTGGCATGTGGTGCTGGGGGATCGAACTGCGGTCCCTGTGCGTTGCCAAGCTTGTTCCAAGTAGGTGCTTTAGACCACTGAGCCATCTCACCAGCCCTAGAGAGTGCTATTGTAGGGAAGAATGGAAGCAGCTCAAGGTGGAGTGGTTGGGTGGGCCTCACAAAGGAGGTGGTGTGTGTGTATCAGAAGATGTACATGAATTTGCTAGCTGGAGAAGTAGAGGAAAGATTACTCTGGAGTGGAGGGAACATAATGCGGCTTGCAAAGGCTGGAGAGAATAGCTAAGGAAGGGTAGTTCTGCGTGGATGGAGTACAATGGAGGTAAACACCTGGGAGAGGAGCTTGGATGGGTAGGTGAGACCATGTTGTAGAGTCCCTGTCACACGTGGAGGAGTTCGGGCTGTAACCCATAGACATTAGGGAGTGATCAGGAGGTTTCAGTAAGATGACAGTGGTTGTGTAGAAGGTAGGTGCTGGGAGGAATTACTGAAGGAAGGAGACCATCTCCTGCCCTACCCTTCCTTGGCATATGTTTATACCCTACTGACTGTGTCCTGCTGGCTTTGTCATCTGCTTCCTGCTCATACTCCCTCCTGAAACCCTACAGCCTCATCACAGCCTACTTCCTCCCTGCCCTGTTCTGCCTATACCCCTCTCCCTTTCCAGGCCCGCCTCTGGCTCCTGGGCTTGGGCTTTAGTCTGGGCTATGGCTCCATGTTCACCAAGATCTGGTGGGTACACACGGTCTTCACAAAGAAGGAAGAGAAGAAGGAGTGGAGGAAGGTGAGCAGTTTGTAGTCCCTAGCCCCTGCTCTTTGGTTCCTTTGGCTTAGAGGATTTCCCTCTGACCAGCCTGCTCTGAATGTTTGCTCAGACCCTGGAGCCCTGGAAGCTGTATTCCACAGTGGGGCTGCTGGTAGGCTTGGATGTCCTTACTCTCGCCATCTGGCAGATTGTGGACCCCTTGCACCGGACCATTGAGGTACTGCTTGAGAGGAGGCGGTCAAGAGGCTGAGCAAGGTTCACTGGCTGTTGGGGTTCCCAGCGCTGCGTGTGGTCTTGAGTGAGAAGGCAGCTTTCTGAGATACTATGGCTGGTCTTCTTCCTAATAGTGGCTCTGTCTCTCCTTACTAGAAGAATCCCCATCAGAGCCTCTAAAGTCATCAGGAGAATTGAAGTAGTGGAGATCAGGGAAGGATGTGTAGAATTTCTAGGCCTTTGGGAAAGTAGGAAACAAGCATTTCTAGTGAGTTCAGGGAAATGTTCCCAGGTCCAGAGGACCAGGACTTGGCATCAGTATTGATGATCTCTTAAGAAAGAGCAGGCAGGGTTGGGGTTAGAGGTGGAACGAGGTTGGGGAGGATGGAAATCATTTTTCTGTGATCCTGTTTCTTCTTCAGACTTTTGCCAAGGAGGAGCCAAAGGAAGACATTGATGTTTCTATTCTGCCCCAGCTGGAGCACTGTAGCTCCAAGAAGATGAATACGTGGCTTGGTGTGTGGGATGTTGGGGAGAGGAGGGAAGGAGGATGGAAAGAACAACAGGTCTGGAGAGTGCTAGGCCAGCAAACTGCCACTGAGCCACATCCCTGACAGAACAGTAGGTCTGGAAGGAGAAATGTCTTTGGGAGCGACAGAAGAGAGCTTGTCAAGCCAGTTTGAGTGTCCCTATCTTTGTTATTGCACTGCTGTCCTGTGAAAGTAGAGGAGGGTTGGTCTTGTGGCTCCCTCTGACTTTGTTAACATTTCTCTGAGATAGAACTTCAACTGGCAAGCCTACCTTCAGCCTCCTGCCTGGAGGGGAGCAGGTGCGACTGTTGGGGCCTATACTGGCCCATTGCAGCGTTCAGCAGGCTCTTGCCTGCCTGACAGCTGCCTGAGGACCCCACTTTCCTGTGTGACACAGGACTCCATCTTAGCAGGAAGGGATGAGGTCTAGGCCAGTTGGATGGGTTGGATGGGGTCACAGGGAGGGCTGGGAGGGAGAGAAAGGCTCTCTTCCTGTGTGGAACTACAAGGAGGTGGAGCAGTAGGTGAAAGGCAGAGAAGGGAAGAGGATTGGGAGGAGCGGAAGCCCTGGATTCCCAAGTGCCCCTTCCCTGTCCCTCTAGGTATTTTCTATGGTTACAAGGGCCTACTCCTGTTACTGGGAATCTTTCTTGCTTATGAAACCAAAAGTGTGTCTACTGAGAAGATCAATGACCACAGGGCCGTGGGCATGGCCATCTACAATGTGGCGGTAAGCTCCCTGGACGCAGGCACTAACCCTGTAGGCCAAGCAGCAGCCTGGGTGTGGTATGCCGCGAAGAGCTGCATACCAGATCTGGAGGCGGTGGCATGGAAAACCCAAGACTTAATGTTGGACTTACAAAGCAGTTCATAAAACATCCCACTGCATCCTAATCGTTAATTTCCTTGCAACTGCCCAAGAAGTAGACACTAATATTCCCGTCTTACAGGTGAGGAAACCAGCAGAGTTGTGACATTGTTTGTCTGTGGTTCATGGGATGGAATCTGCACGGCCCTTTCCTTCCAGATGCCTGTCAGGACTGACCGTGTGTGTGTGGAGAGCTTCTGGATGTTGCTGTCTTGAGGAAAAGACAGAGAACTGGTTGAGGATGGTCTGGGATTTTTTCGTCCATCTAGGGTGGAGGATGAGCCTGCTCATGGCAGGTTCCCCAGGACCCTGTCCTCATAGGCTCTGTCATGGGGAAGGAGACCCCAGACTCTGCCTGTGGATCTGAGTCTTCCTAAATGCTGTCTGTCCCCAGGTCCTGTGCCTCATCACTGCCCCTGTCACCATGATCCTGAGTAGCCAGCAGGATGCAGCCTTTGCCTTTGCCTCTCTGGCCATTGTGTTCTCGTCTTATATTACTCTGGTTGTGCTGTTTGTGCCCAAGGTAATTTTCTGGCCTTTCTCCTGCCCTGCCTGGTATCATGCCCCTTCAGGCTGGGACTCCTGCTTGCTGCCCCCTACTGGACCTCACTCCCATCCCTGCCTTGCTGCAGGCCCCGCTTGTCCCCACTTACCCCTTTCACCTTCACCCTGTCAACTGATCACTCACAGCCACTGCTTTGCTGTTCCTGCCCAAACGTCTGTCCCCAGATGCGCAGGCTGATCACTCGAGGTGAGTGGCAGTCGGAGGCCCAGGACACCATGAAGACAGGGTCGTCCACCAACAACAATGAGGAGGAGAAATCTCGGCTCTTGGAGAAGGAGAACCGCGAACTGGAGAAGATCATTGCTGAGGTGTGTGGTGACAGCAGGATCCAGGAGGACAGGGTTTTAAGGCTGGGTCATCTGAAATGGAACCTTAAACTAGAAGTTCAAGTATTTGAGATTTGTGAATGGGGAGCCTTGGAACAAACCCTGAAAGGGAGTTAGTGCAGTAGGGTAGGGCAGGGTTGAAAGAACTGAGCAAGATTCTGCCTTAGGCAAGTTCTAGTTTGGCCTGATCATGTGGAGGCAGCTCTGGAGTGGGAATTGCACTGTTGACTCCGTGCTCCGGAAGCAGGAGGGTGGCCATTGGCAGTGGCAATTTGGAGGCTACCATGAGCTGTTAGTAGCCAGAATTCACAGCAGCTCAATGCTAAGTATACCCACGGGACAGGGGGCTGGGCATTGCCATGCCCATAGTGTCCATGCTGCCCCACGCAGCGGTGAGGAGCAGGTCCAGTGTTAAGAGACGGGGAAGTTCCCGGTGGTTGACAAATCTGTATGTGATTTATTGGAACCTTTGTGCACTGACTTTTCTCTTTCATTGTCTCCTTTTCTTTTGAACCTCTCCTACTTCCCTGACTTCGTTTGATGCCCCTTGTGTTCTGTGATTTTTCCTTGTTCTTTTCTTGGTTTCTAATCTGCCCCTCCCCAACCTTACAACCTCTCCTGTGCTGCTCTCCTACCTGTGCTTCTTCCTCCAGAAAGAGGAGCGGGTCTCTGAACTGCGCCATCAGCTCCAGTCTCGGCAGCAGCTTCGCTCCCGGCGCCACCCTCCAACGCCCCCAGATCCTTCTGGGGGCCTACCCAGGGGACCCCCCGAGCCCCCTGACCGGCTTAGCTGTGATGGGAGCCGAGTCCACTTGCTCTACAAGTGAGGGGTGTTAAGGAGGACAGTTGGTGGGATGGGAAGGGAACAGGGAGAGGGTGGGAGGCTGGGGAGGAAGCGAGCATCTTTGTCCCAGTGTCATCCCCTGTGTTAAATGCCTGTCCCTGTGAGTGCTGGGATTATTTGGGTCTCTAGTACTCTGAGAAATAGATCATTTCTGTCTCATTCATTCATGTAATCCTGTATCATCACTTCATACTTCAGCTTGTGTCTCACCTGGAGTCCCTTGTCCGTGGCTCTTTGGCAGCCTAGTCACTTCTTGCCTTCTACAACTTGCTGCACTCATTACCACGGCACCTCTAGTCCCTCGGCCCCCAGCAGCAGGGGTCTCCACACAAGTGCTGTCTTCACCCTGTTTTTCGCACCCTCATAACCTCTTTTCACTTCACAGTTTCTTCTACATGTTCCCACTTTTTTCTTCTTACACTTTTTTCCTCTGAGGGCCCATTCTTACCAAGGCTCAGTGTGTGTCACTCTGTGCCCATGCTTCCTCGTGCATGTGTACCCTTCCCCTCTTCTGCTGTGCCCACTGGGCCCATTCCTGTGTGTGCTCCCATGAGCTTCTCACTTGTGTTTACACGTATTCCCTGCGAACCTGCACCAGCTGTGTTGGTCTCACCCATAGAGACAGGTCTGCACTTTGTGCTGTGTTCCCTACCTGCACACATTCATGGTCACCCATCTTGCTTTCACATAAAGATCATTGTATTCTTCCAGCAGCTATGTGGAACCACTGTATGTGTTGTTAGGCACTTCGCCTCTTGCTGGGCACCCATACTTTTCTCCCTTCATGTTCAGCATCTGTTCCAAGGCCCCTGGTCTGTCCTTCACACTCATTATCATCCTTAGTCTACACTCACAATCATCTTCCCCTAAGACTACTCTCTTTCATTGTGTGTGTATGTTTGGGAGATAGGGAAAAGAAACGGGGGCAGGTTTGGAGAGCTGCATCCAGTGGATACATGGTGAGAATCCTGACCAGAGACAGGCACCTCAGACCACTGGGATGAACAGATGGACTAATGGGATAAGATGGGTGGTGTGTCTGGAAGGATCTCCCCGGATCTCAATAAACCAGTAGATGGTGTGATTTGGCACCTTACCCTCTGTTCTGTGAATGGTGGGCTCTAGTCCAAGGCGGGAGGCTCAGAGGGCTCGAGTTTAACAAAATTTTGAAGGGAAGGGGTGGAAAAAAGTGTTTTATTGATCCATCAAGGGCTTAGCAGGGCAAACCAGGGCATAACTAAGGCTGAGTGAGTGATAACATTAGTGGTTAAAGGTGTGGGCTCTGGAGTCAGATGCCACAGTTTCAGATCTGACTACCTGCAAGAATTTTTTTAGTCTCTTGGTGTTCTTCATGCTCTTGTTTATGAAGAATAAAGAATGCAAATCATAACGATAATTACACATTCCTTCCAAAAGTGGGTGCAAGTGGTACATTCCGGTGTCTGGGTTTTGCTAGACATGGGTGTATGTTGGGTAGCCGCTAGCCTCTGTCACTAGTGTTTGATGAATTCTCTACAGCAGCGGCCGTGCACTGGAAACCTGGAGCAGGTGGCTGAACAGCTGTGCGGGCTCCTTTCCAGGAAGTAAGAACAACAGAGGAATGCGGCTGCTGGAAGGTTTTAGGGTAGATGGCCTCCAGGTGCTTCCAAGTATACAAATATTTGTGTGAGAAATTCTGAGCATCTTGGGAAGAATTTGTAGTCAAAATAAGTTTTGAATTGCTGAGGGAGAAAACAATTTGCCTGGGCTTTATTTTACTTCTTACGTCTTTGACAGTACCGGGAATCAAACTTGGGACCTAGTGCTTGCCAGGCAAGCACTTACTGCACTGAGCTATCTCCTGGCCCCTTAGATTTTGTACACTTTTGTATCCTTTTGGTAATGTGCTCTTTTTTTCTGAGACAGGATCTTGCTGTATAGTTCAGGCTGGCCTTGGTTCCCTAAGTAGCCGACGCTGGTCTCAAACCCCTACCAGCCCTGCTGCCTCAGTCCTGTGTGCTTTTGTGAAGCTCACTTTGGTGCTCAGTGATTGTTGTCACTTTGCTATTCATAAGAGCTTGGATGCATGGTGTTGGGCCTTCAGTCATTTTATTGTCCTGTGTATGGGCAGGTGAAGTCTTAGGCCAATATTTCATTTCTTTTAAATTTTATTGAGAAATATGAATGAGACAGTTTCACAGCTGATTAATAGGACAGTTTCAGTAATCAATACATTGCATATTGTTATCTTCTTAGTGGTTATCCACAGTACAAGATGCAGACATGATATCCTGTCCAAACACTATTAGTACACCTCTTTCTTCTCATTGAATTAAGTGAAAGTAGCTGTATAGCTATCCTGTTTTGTATATATAAGTACAAAATGATCTTTCCTTTTATCCCCTTTTTTTTTTGTTTAGTCCTGTCAGAGGTGAATATTCTTTTTTTAAAAAATTTATTTATTTATGTGTGTGTGTGTGTGTGTGTGTGTGTGGCCAGCTCAGCCCACCAGGGGGCGGGGCTGGCTGGCATGTGGTGCTGGGGGATTGAACTGTGGTCCCTGTGCTTTGCTAAGCTTGTTCTAAGTAGACTTGCTTTAGACCACTGAGCCATCTCACCAGCCCCAGAGGTGAATATTCTATCGGCATCTAAATACTATAGGTGTTTGAATTCAGCTAAACAATCCAACACTGTCTAGCAGTCTATAATATTTGTGGATTATCCTCAGAAGTTATTGATTTGAACCTTTTACAGCTCATCATATTAATATGGCTTTACTGGGGCCAGGGAGATGGCTCAGTAGGGTAATCGTTTGACTGGCAAACACAAGGATCTGAGTTCAATCCCTGATTCCGCCAAAAAAAAAAAATTATATATATATGGCTTTGCTTTATATACCTCGTTTTTATACTTTTCTGTTGGATGGTTAAGACCAAGATAGAACAAGACCTATATACCAAGAAATGTAACTTTTGTATCTGATAACGTCATCCAAGTACTCTCAGGATTTATCCTGTAACCCTATACCGCACTTTGTAGATCCTTTGTCAGTGTCAGCCATGAGGATGAGTCATGGCCATTGTGTGACCAATTTGGTCTCTGTGAAAGCCTGAGAGAATGTTTTTTCTCCACATGTGACACTCCCCAGGCTCACTTTAGATCATCGATCACATTCCTCGGTGGCTCCATAATCTCCTTGATCAGAAAATTTGGAGCACAACTGAGTTACATGTTGTTACAGTACAGGTTCTCCTATGTCCCACGTCTTCACTGACCTTGAAAGGCTAGGGCCAAAATGTTGGCTGACCTTGCGGCCCTTTCTTTTCTCCCATTTTGATCTGCTAGCTTAAGTTGTTAACCCTCCAGAAGAGAAGCTTATTATTAACCTGCAATAGATGCAGTTCATTTTACCCTATCTGTCTAAATATCAAACATCTTTGGCATATCATGGAACAGGTACCTTCCACCAAATATTGATA